GAGGATTTGAGCATTGTCTTCCTCAATCCTGAATGAGATGCAGGGGTAAGAGAAGAGAAGCACGCCGAAATACTCGTAAAAGTGAACATCAGAACAGGTAGAAAGGGTTAAGGAGTGAAACGAGCTTGTGGTCCCTGTGTTGCGCACTTGCTTGGAGATGAGATGATGTCTCTGACCGTCACACTCCGTCCCGCCGCCCCACATCCCTTTAGCCTGTCCCGCATCGGGCAGCTCCCCCAAAGCCGGCCTCTCCTCCTCCTCCTCCTGCCGCGGACGCTCCGCGGGGTTTGCGGTGCAGAACTTCTCCCTGCTGGTGCCTGCATTAGTGCGAGCCCAGGGCTATCCAGACTTATAAAACATTGTTTACATGCGTAGTGGAAGCACTCAGTAGTAGTAAAAATACGTAAGATAAGCCTTCATGCTTCAAGGTATGAGTAATAAGGGCAGGAAGATGTTTGCTATCACTGCTAGGATTTCTTCCCTTGTGTTTTGACGCATCTGTTTCTGATGATGGTTGGAAGCAGCATACCAGGCTTGGGTCAAACACAGATTTAGACTGGTTCCTGCACCTCAGTTGCTCTGATCCTAGAACTTTCTAACCCCAAAGATTAAAAAAAAATCATGATTTACAGACAAAAATAATTTAAAAAATTAGCTCTTAAATAATGATTATTACAAAAATATATATTTCTTGCATTTTTGTCTTTTTTTTAAAACTTTCAGATACTTCTCAGACTAGGCATCTGAATGCAAATTAGTGGTGACAAATGTATTGATAGAGATGGTGCTGCAAGAGCTCCAGCCTGTGCTCAGCAAATCATTCTGCACGGGTTGTCTCCAAATCAACCCAATTTACTCCCATCAGCTCCTAAGTGAGCTCTTTTGTCAGCTTTTTGCAGTTCTCCCATTTCCATGCAGTTTTCTCATCGATGCTTCTCGTGCAGGGAGGTTGCTGGTGCAGCCACGATTCTTCCCGATTCCAGACTGAGGGGATGATAGATGAATTATTCTTCATCCCATAACCATTGCAGGAGGAATTCTCCAAAATGAAAATTTCCTTCTCCTCTCCCCCTATTTCTTACATACAGTTCATTGTCCCAAAGCAGAAATGGACTCTCCCATATGCAGGATCTTGATTTCTTTCCTTTGCAGTGAGGACTCTGGGCCTGATTTACAGCTTTTAGAGTAATTGTAAAAGACTAGAACTATCAGAGTCCGACATTTGCAACCCCTACTTTGCACCGGGATATTGAGCAGTTTGTGACAGCTTAAAATGCAGAGCAGAGTCAGGAAAACATGAGAAAATTGCTTAGAGTTGTGTTCAAAGTCTATACTTTCAGCTCCACAGAAGGAAACGTGAAAGTTCTGCTATCCAAAAGAGCCCGCCTATCGCTCCCAGTATTCCGCACTTACCTATTTCCATTTGTATAAATCCACAAATGTGCCTCTTTTAAAAAAAAACCGCCTTGGGAGAGACAAGCAGACCTTGCATGAAAGAAGGTCCTCACAAACAGAATGCACCTCTTGGGAACAACTTGTCCTCAGGGACAATATTGTTAGTTCTGGGTAAACGCTGGATTTCCAACATTTCCATGCTAGCTTACAGAAAGTCTTTTCCAATATTCTTTTGACTGTTGAAACTAGAAATATCCCCGTAACTTTCAGATCAGGTAATTGCTAATGCTAGTTAAGGTTCTTAGGACCTTCTGGATGGCCAGAAGCAGATTAACTGTGTTGTTCAGGAAGCACATCTACTGCTTGGAGAATTCCATTTTAATTCTGCTATTGCAGAATGAATGTCTCATGGATACAATGTCTTTTTGATGAAGAAGGCAAGATATCAGACTTTCTATTCTGGCTCTTCATTTCTATGCAAAATTCATGGAGATTTTACAGTAAGATCTTTACCTTTCACAATTTCATAATCTTCTGCAAAAGGAAACCTCTATCAAGGGTTCTAACAATTACACAATAAATTACTTAAAATAGACATGTTCTTAATAAAATTAAATGTATAAAGAAAATTTAGACATCAGGTCTAGGTTAGAAGGCAAATAGGAGTAACTTAAGAGCAGGACAGTAATGATACTCTACCCATGGAGGGGAAAAGCGCCAGGACTAATATTTGTAGGATTTTGCTTGAGGAAAATCGTTAGGGAGGGCTGGGGAGAAGACAGCCCTGATGCAATGACATTTCTTGAATCCCTACAAACATCTGAATGGCCAGAACCCTTTCAAAGCAGCGATTACCAAAGGAGCTCTTTGGAAGTTGCTTCTTCCAGCGGCGATGCTCACAAGGCCTTGCAGCAGACCCAGGCGTTCCTTTGGAAGCAGGATTTCTCATCCCAAAGCAGAACTTCAGGCACCATTTCTTACCTTTTTAACTGTAATACTGGCAGAATCTTTCCCCCGTTAGGCTTATTCAGCAGCTTGTATCACCCGTCGTGAGCACGAAGTTCTTCCCTCCACGACTGCAAACAAAACCTGATAAACAGGTGTTCATTTATACCTCCCTGTTGCTATCACATTTCCAAGGCAGAAGACATACCTAACAATTAAATACACCGCCACTATTTATTCCTAGAAGGAAAGCACCACCAAGAAATTCAGAAGCATTTTTTGTTGTTTGGGGGTCAGGGCAGCACCAAGCCCAGCAGTATCACAGTGTTGTACATTTGTGATATACAAAGCTGCAGATGCTCTGAGGCAAGAACCATTTTTTGCTCTATTTATACAGGGTTTAGCATGTTGGAACCCTGACAAAGTTGTCATTCAAACAATAGAAGGTCATCGTCACCATAAGTCAAGGGGCTTTTTAGACAGTTTAATAAGGCCTGAGAAGCGAGTATTTCAGCAGTAACAAGGGGGAACATCACGGACCATGGACTCTTAATGAGTACAGGAAACTTTATGACTGTTGGGAGCTAACAGGTCCCAAGACACATCCTACCACCCAAAGTACACTTGTAAGATCCAGGAATTATCTTCATTGTTTCACTGTCTGTTTTTGAAAATCCAGACAAATCTTACATTCCCGTTCTTAGTATTTTTTGCAGTCTAACATTTTATTTCTTTTGTTAGTTTTGACATTATAATCTTTTGATTTTCCCCCATTAATATTTGCTAATAAAAAAAAAAAAACATCTAGACATTTCTAGTCTGCTTGGCTATGATCACTTGGAGCTGTTGATTCCAATACATATTTGAACTATATTTTGCTCCAGCTGTTTTAAAGCTTTATTGATATTTGCTTCATTGTGCAACTGCAAAATACAAGCAAACAATTTGTCATATGCTACAAAAGTCCCGTTTTAGTATGTTTTTGAGAATTAGAAAAGAGAACCTGTGTCATTGGTCGTTCAGATTAGTCAGAAAACCAAGTTTGTACCATGGGTACACCCTGGTTTCAACCCGTAATCTGATTTGTGTTATTCTGCTCCAGCTTCCGTGGCTCAGATGTGTTGGATATATCGAGAATAACATTTCAAAACATTTCAGAACTTTGTATTCTGTAACATCAAATACTATATGGGGAATAAGATATATCACATGAGTAAATATGTTATTTTTAAGAAGGTTTTTAAAATACCAGCATCGTGTTTGTTCAAATGTATTTGCCATATTGGAATTATCGAACCATCAAATTATTATTTTTTTAAATAAAAACAACACAACTAAAAGAAACAATTTGCTGCAATTTAATAGTAACAATCTCACTTTACAGTATAATAATGGTGAAAACTTTGCAAAGGAATTTGAAAGAGAATGTAATTAAAAACGACAGATTTAAGACAACAAAAATTGAAAATTAAATAGCACAACAATTCTAGGAGGATCAAATTTTAACCAGAATGTTTATTTGATGCCGCGTTCTGATTAATAAGTGACACTATGTTACCAGCACTTGCTGAGATCGGATAAACACCACTTCTTTAAAGCACAATTGTTCTGTTCAGAGACCAAGCACAGACCGACAACAAGAAATCGGACCCCAGACCCACTTCCCACGTGGGCAGTAGCAAAGTTCCTAAGTGGAAGAGGAAGGACCCTGAGTGGCCCCTGCAGCCGAACGGACCGGCCATGTCGTGATTTCCGCTCTCGGGGAACTCTGCAAATATTATTTTAGGTTTTTCTAGGACACACCCCACTGCCAAATACAAAATCAAAGCAAGACAGAGGTGGGTGAAGTGGCTCTGCGGCCGGCGAGCACTGAACCGGGACCTGGGAAACCTGGATTCACTTCCCAGATCCTCAGGTGAGACATCCCGTTCAATGGAAATTACAACACTGGCCTTCCATGAGAACCTTGGAAATCTCCAGGAAAAATAAATGCTTCTGAGGCAGGGGTTGTTATTTAAAATTAACATTCTCCAATCACCTTGGAGATCACATAAAAATTGAAGTGTTATGGCTGCTAATGCTGTGTAAACATAATTGAATGAAATATGATAAAATAAATGTGTACGAAGGATTCCATAAAAGGATAAGTGATGTCCACTCCACTTTTCGGGAAGTCATTCTTTCTCCTTTGAACTTAACTCCTGAAGTGGTCAGAAGTGTCCAGTAAATGCAGGTACCCATGAAACTGGAATGAAAACTGGTGCCATTGGAAGCAAAACTCCATAGCAAAGTTCAGCAATACCAGAATTCCATTTCCAAAATACTCAATGACACCTACATAAATTGTTGAGTATTTTTAAAGATAGGGAGGATGCTTTCCTGAAAAGGGTTCTTCTACCTTTCAGCAGAAGTTTATGAAAACTGCCTAAGAAAGAGTCATTGTTGGTAACCCACACAAACATAAATATGGACAGCAAAAGAGAAACCAAAGCAGTTTTGCTTATTTAATAATATAAAATAATGTGATGAGAGGAAAAAAAAAACACAAAGTTTTTTTTTGCTGTTTATTGTTAATTATAGTTTTTGGATAACCAAGCAGCTCTGTATGGAGAAAGCACAGAAGAGCAATTCTGGCACTTTTGGATAATACATTTATTTAAAAAAACTTTTTTAGACACATTCAGTCTACTTGCTCGGTCCACAGTCCGTTTTACATGAGCAAGATGAGCTCATATGCTTCAGAGAAAACTAACAATATATACAGCCCATGAAACTATCTTCTTGGCTACCCTGGGGCCTTTAAAATGTCCTCTAAGTCTACCCTGGCTAAACAGAATCCACAATATACATGATAGTTACAGAATACGCTGTACTGAAATGAGAAATGCTCAGCACAAAACGGGACTCTTGGCATGCAGCTTAAAGTAAAAGGTGAAAGTCCAGAAGTTTATAAAATCCCAAACGGGGTCAATTAAAAGGAGTTAGCAAAAGAAGGGACTGTTCATTGTTACTGTAAAAAAGGCACTTTGAGTAAGTGGGACCAGAATTAGAGGAGTCTTAGTTGACACAAAGTTCAGTTTGGTTTCAGAAAAAGGCTTCAATGCTAAGGGATGCTACTCAAGTTTCCTGCAGTTTTACATTAAAAAAATTGCTGAGTAGTTTATAATAAAGGACATAAAATGTTTACAACCAACTTGTAAAATTAAGAAAAGCATAGTAGAAGCAAAATATTACTAAAAGCAGCAATGCATAGCCTTTCATTGAGATAATGCACAATTTTGGACACCACGTGTCAAACTAGGGTTTTTAAGATACTCTTTCAGTAGCATTATCAACATAAAATGGGCCTATCTAACAACAGTTTTACCAGCTCCCATTCATAAGGAGATTGAGGTCATAAACCAACCCAAACAATCTGTCAGCATTTTTAACATCCTGGATGACCAATATCAAGTATATGGAATAACAATCACACTCTTTGTTCAGCTATCTCACTGGAGGCAGCCGTTAAATCAGAGGAATGATTTTAAATCTTTTCTAACATTTACACAGTAATGCATTATAAGTTCTTTCAAAAGTTGCTCACCACAGTTTTTCTCTTTTTTTTTTTCTCCACAACAAAAAAAAAAAAAAGAAAAAAAAATCAAGCACTTCCACAGAAAGAATATTTGGCAATTTTATACTCCACGGAACGGTGGATTTTCACAACAGCTCACTTTAGATTGAATGTCATTAGTGGTCTTTCCTCTCGTTTCTGCCAAGGACTCTTCTTATCCTCACCCTGGTCATCCTCCTCGTCCTCGTCCTCGTCGCGAAGGGCCGTTCCGCGCGCGGGGCTCGTTGAGGGCTCCGGCCTGGGCTCCGCAGTCCTGCTCTCCTCCTGCAGGCTGGGCAGCTGCGCGCCGCTCCTCTTGCCGGGGCCGTCCAGCAGGCAGCGCAGGGCGCTGTCCTCGGGGCTGCACACGGCCGTGCCGCACTCGCTGCCGCTCTGGTCCATGTCCTCCAGGCACACGAGCTGCGTGTAGGACGTGGCGTCCGCGCTCGCGCTGCTGCTGCTGCTGCTGCTGCTGCTCCGGCGCCGCGGGGTGGCTCGGCGCCGCCGACGGGTGCTCTCCTCCTCTTCCCTTGCGGGCAGATTTGGGTTCGTTCATGTCAACGCCGGAGTCCAAGCTGGCGTCGTTGCTCCCGTTCCTACCGGCTCTTTGGAGGTCAATGTACGAATGTCTAACGTGAGCGTTGGAACGCCCATCTAGAGAAACAAACCATGCCCGAGGATGAGGCAAGGGTTTCCCCCCTCCCAGTTCCATCAGAGCCTTTTCTGTAAGGAGCTGCACTTCGCTGTTCATTTGCGCCAGGGATGCATCGTTCAGCGAGGCAGGAATGGAGATAGATTCGGACATGGAAGCGTTTTGTTGGCTCCACTCAGCTGCACCTGCGTCCTGCAAATGCTGCTGAGATACTGCCTGCGAGGCCAACTGCTGCGGCTGCAGCTGCTGCGGCGGGTGCGGAAAAAGCCGCACGTGGGGGTTCGGGAGCTCCGCCTGGAGTCTTTCTATGTCAATCTGCTGGTCAGCTGGAACCACCAGCGGCTGGCTAACGTAAGGGTGTTCGCCCGGTAATTTCATGTAGTGACCTGGAATGACCAACGCGGGCAAAACTTTTCTGTAAACACTGTCGTTAACTTGGTCAACAGAATTGCAGCAAATTAACTGACCTGGTCGAGGGAAAGATGTAGGTCGTTCAAGGTGATCCACTGAACGAGACATCATACATTCAGTAGGTCTGCAGTCCAACAGTTCTTTTTCGGGGGCTGGAGGTGTGGGGTATATTTGTTCCTGAATATTGTATTTACTTCCAGTAGCTATATGATTCATAGATACTTGGATTTCTCTCTCTTGCTTTTCAAACAGAGGCTGAGACAGCATAGCGTTGTAGCTTCTCCTGTACTCATCTTTGATGGGGGACTCATAGCCCTCAACAGTTTCTGTAGATTTTCTTGTCTTTAAAGGAAAACTATCAGCTGATTTGTGGTAGTCTTTTCTCAGGGACCCGCTGGGAGTCAGGTCATCCAAGGAAATTCTGCTCTTGTCTTTCTCCTTGTCAGAAAGCAGCTCCTCCCGGGAGCTAAACTCCTGGGAAGTGGTGAACGAGTGTTTGAGCATAGGTGTGTGCAGATCTGCTTCTCCGCTGGCGGACACCATCTCCATGCGGACAGCGCTGATTAATTCCTTGGCTCCTGAGGTTTCGCCGTGTCCATTGCTAGCAACAGAGAGCCCGCCTGGAAACTCTGACTCGCGCCGGGAAAATATTAAATTTATATGTGACATAGAGGTTGCTTGATCCTTCTTGGAAGTGTCCAGTGCTGTGGGAAGCTGCAGCTTCTTATGGTGCTGACGTGGTTTTAAACATTTTCTTCTGTAAAAGCCGGTAACAAAAGAAATAACATAAATATGACTATTGTACAGAAAGAAGATCAACAAGTGCGTCCTAAGGAAAGATTTTTAAGCACTGATTAAAACAGCAAAGACAAAATCAACGACAAACTACTGGCAAACAGGAAATATCTCAAGCACCAATTATAATCTGCAGCAAACGTCTAGAAAAGACAAATATAAAATAACTTATTAGTATACATTTGCTGTTCTAGACTTAACATAAATTTGTAGTTAGGTTTGATGAGAACAGATGAATTGCAGGTGCAGAACAGGAATGATTTCAGAGATCCTCAGTCTCAAGCCTATATTTGATAGGAGGTTTTAAAACATTTCATAAGGAACACACAGCTGTAAATCATAAGGTGCTGAGATTTTTTCAATTACCAACCTACCAAAGGTATGGATTATGCAGTATGCAACCAGCAACACATGAAATTTATCTCCCTGTATGCTTCTATTTCAAGGGCTTTCTTCCTCTTCTTTTTGTAAAAAATGTTAAAAAAAAAGTTCGCGTATAGAACCTTTAATTTTATGGGCACAGAAAATCTTACATTTCCAACATGAACTAAGTACCTAGAATGGTGGATCTTACCTGCAATAATACAAAAGGAGACACAGCAAGACAAGAAGGATGACAGCCATCCCTCCTAAGATTGCCAGAAGAAACATCGTATGATAGCTGGTAATGTCGTGTGTGACAACAGGACCTGGAAGGCCAGAAAAGAGCAGTTAGACGTGTGACAATCTGCAAATAAAAGGAGGATGAACACTTTAAGCAAAGAGAGGGATGGCCTCCCTTGCACGAGGGTGCTAAGTGAAGAGCACTGCCACTCAGCCCTGGTGCCTGCTGAGCTGAGCTGAGCCTCTCCGGCACGGAGCGGGCGGTGGGGGAAGCACGAGCGGCTTTTCGTGACTGCAGCTCCAAAGAAACGGATCATTCTGTGGAAAAGCAGTTAGCTTCAAAGGGAGCATGCAAAAGTGAATGCTGCCTTCCAAATCCTGATGCTGATACCCTGACTCATCTCTTATCACTGGAGAAAAAGCCATCACAGCATCTTCCAGCATCGTGGTAAAAGATTTCTCTCTATAAATATACTTGTGTAGCTTTGCATTAAGTAGTACATTCAGTGCAGTAAAGGATACTGTGGAAGAAGTGCTGGTGCTCATAATTCTAGGCCAAGCGAAGCGGATCTTCAGTAGCTTTAAAACCAGGCCAGTGGTGAGTGTTGTAACTCCAGGTTTCAATAGTGCTTCAGAAATTTTTCAACATACCAACACACGCATGTGGACAGTATCTGTTCACAGCTATGCATGTGTAGCCCCATTAGTTTCTAATACCCTTAACATCAATTTGAAATACAGTCCCAGGTTTTCATCCGTAAGTAAGGAAGGAGGTACAGCACCAGCTAACCAAGTAACATGCAGGTAGGACAGCAAATGTTGACCTGTATACTTGGGCAACATTAAGGTTGCAGATCATGAGGTTTCAAGAAAATCATCTGTGTGTCTTTGGTGGTCTGTAGAGCCACTGCTAGGAACACAACGTTCATTTTGCCCATTTTTGGAGATAAGAAATGAGAAGATGAAATAAGCAGACAGACAGTAATTTGCTTAAAATAACATTAGGAAAATATAAAAATATATACATTCTACTCTGGCACTACTTTTATATAATGGATACTGTTGCTATAGGACATTAAGTAAGTAGGGGAAGAGATAAACCATGTAAGTTTTTCATTAAGATGTGGTTCCCTTTGTAACACAACTCTAGCAGTGCTGATCTAGCCCTCAGGAAGAAGGGAGGATAGGACACAAACAGATGCTCTGCCCTACAAGTAAAACTGTAAGGGCAAATGTAAGCACATCCAGGACAGCTTTAGAGTTACGGGGTCAAAATTCATGATTATAGCTGCCTTACCATCTGGAGCAGAGCTGCACTTGGAAACATTTGGCTCCTGGCAGGTTTTTTTTTTTTTTAGAGGTACAGTAATTTTTTTAAGATTCCATTAAATTTAGTGATAGTTTACACTGATTTGCACCTGCACCTAAGCTCTGTTCAGCAACGAATCAGGTGAATATTCCAGTTTTACCTAGTATCATCTTAAATAAAAAGCTTGCATAAGGTAGCACAGCAGAAACTCCAAGTGTTTTCTGTATCACAAAGGAACTTAGTGGAATATGCAAGTGGAGTTTGAAAATGATCCTCATATTAGAGTGTGTTTTGCTGGTTAGATGTAGTTTATGTATTTTGCACAGCCAAGGAAAGAATGTTTCCATTCCTACTATATTTGGTTTTCATTCAAAAAAAAAAGCCCCTAATAAAATCTCTAAGAGGAGAAATTTTTGGTTGGTTGCCTGGTTTATGTAGAGGTATCTCTAATTACTGGTGACTGGAAAACTACTACTAAGAAACGTGAGCCAGCCACAGAGAGAAAAAAAATGAAGACTTGGCTACAACATTAATAATTGCAGTGGGCACAGAAGTACACAAATACCAAAATCAAAGTGATTTCAAAAGTTGCCTAAGAATCTTGCAAATGGCAACCAAGAAGCTCATCTGCCTCCTGAAACCTGAAGTTATTCACAGTGTAAGTTACTGAGTCACAAAGATATATAAAGCCTGAATCATGGCAAAATGCAGTGTAGGCATTAAAAAAACAACCAATCAGCTAAACCATCCAGGGCACTGCTGACCTTTGGTAAATTCTCTAAGTTTCTGCACTGAAACGGCACAGTGGATATTTTTCTATCCACTGAAATATCAATATATTGATATTACAACTCCCTACATTTTCTAGTAATGGCTCTACTTAAGCATGCGTCAAAGCAAAAACCACTTTCATTAAAAAGTTTCCTACTTTGATATTTGGAGATTAACACGCTCAAAAAAATTTGGAACACCATCTTCCCCAAAGATTTTAGCCCTTTACTTTCAGATTTCCGTTTTATAACACTCCATTATTGGTCAAGCTGTGGCATCTCAAATGAGGTCATTCTGCAAAATATAAACATTATATATGAACAAATAATTACTCAGTTGGTCCTATCAATAAAATTCAGTTCCATCTTACCTGGGATAGCAGGTGACATAGCTGCAACCCAGTAGCCCAGCTGAGGTGCAATGTAAGTCCAAGTCAATTGATTTCCTTCTTGCTGTACAAGGCCAAAACTACTCTTCAGCCATGTCCCTGTAAATATAAGGATGTAGAAGGCATTACAGACACAGAACCTCTCTCTGGAACAACTGCAGACAGCTGGAAATGCAAACTGTAACCAAGTCTATCTGTGCACTAAGCACTGCTGTACAATGCTGTAGGTGCATGATAAGGTCATGCCTCCGTCAGTGGCATTTGAGGGCTCCCACAAGCACTCATCTCTGTGGCCAACTCAAAGCTGATGTACATAAAAGAAGCTGTTTAAAATCAAATGGAGCTTTGAAAAAGGATTAAAGAAAATAATCACTGTCATTTTAGATTTCCTTTTTTTGAACAAGGATATTTCTAAAGCTGATTATACGTAGACATCAAACCTCTAAAAAGACAGAAGCTTGCACGCACGCAGCAGTCCCCTACGCCACACATTCGTCTCCTGCATTGGCTGACAAATTCTGCAACAGTAAAGAAAATGCTTCCCCCAGGAGTTAGTTTCCCATACAGAAACAGGCTCATGAAGGCTATTGCCAAGACACGTAAAGTCGAGTTGCACCATCTCTGTCCTTCGGCAGTGACAAGTCATTCAGATTGTGTACGGGTTCAGGAATACTGCTCGTCTGGTAATGGATGACAATTTTTTTAGAATACATTTTTCAGAGGAAATATCATAGACTTTTTTAGAATTATCAAATGGTAATTTCAGAACAAATAAGATCAACAACCTTAGAACCATGTGTTTAAGTAGTCAAAACTCTTCAGTAGCCCAGCAGACAATCTGTACTACTTGAGAGCTGTTCTATTTTCACAAGGTAAGTTACATGGCAAAACTGGGCTACAGAATAACCTTTAAAAACTGAAACAGCTGTTCACATTTTTAATATGGGACTCTAAGACTGAAGGAAAAAAGATCACTATAGTTTCCTATACACTGATCAGCCCATATGGATTGTATACAGCTCTCACTTTTATTCTCTTTGAAATAAACACAGGATTGCTATTCCATAGACAGCTGGAAATTAAATGACAAGAACAGCCTATTTTTTCTAAACAAGAATTCACCTGAAAGCATGTAATGGTATCTACATATGGGCACATGCGAAAGAACAAATGCCTTTAGGAAAAAGTAATTGCACCGTGTGCCTTTTGGGCTAGAACATTTTATTGACATTCTAAAAAGCAGCAACAAACATATCTGAAACACCAGCTACATCCCTTCCCTGCTGCTTCCTCCCTGCGGCCCTCACGCGGGCCCTCCCGTCATGTCGTGGCTTCGGCTCTGGAGCCACAAAACACACCGCGGGGCCGGGGGCTGCGTGAGGGCGCAGGAAGGCGCCAGGGCCGCCCAGCAGGCCGGCGCGCGGGGAGCGGGGCCTGGCAGCCTGCGCCTCCATGCCGGGGGCACCTCCGCGAGCAGCCCTGCTCCGTGGGGGCCCTCAGCCAGTGTGTGTCGCAGCAGGCCAGGAACGAGGGAAGCTCGAGAAGGAGGTTCCTCCTCACGCCCCTCAGTCCCACCGGCAGCACAGCTGAGGCCTGCAGAGAGCCGCCATAAACCCTCCGCGTCGCCGTGCGGCAGCTCTGTGCTTCTGGCACAAGGAGGGGAAATGCTGCATTTACCTTACCATGCTTCAAACGCTCCCTTCAAAGAAAACTTGTGCCTTGTACTTGTAATTCTTCCTTTAAACAGGCGCCTATGCATAATTTCTGAAAACTTACTTTTTTTTTCCAGACATTGCTAAATACTCTGTGATTGCTTGGCAGGGTACAGCACATACTCAAGAGATTATGTATTTTTAATACCTCTGAGATACTGATGATTTCTTCAGTGTTTCTTAAATTATCCATCTGTGCAAATCTAGTATAGATGAGAATGCCTTTTCTGACTACTTATTTCTTCTTTACTATTGATTTTTTCCTTTACCCTTGAAGTCCACTATTTGGTTATTAATAATTCCACATGAATATAGTGACAGGTTGTTACAAAAACATACATGAATGAGAATTTCTACATACAGGTAAATATTGAAAATTTGTGATGTATTTGAGGCTAAGCTGAACTTGTGTGCAGTACATTTATGTGTGCAGTTTTGGGGAAAATTAGGAAAAGCAGATTCGCTCTCTTCTCCAAAGAGCAACTTTTCAGATTTTCTCCAATGCACTTCTGAGGAATGTGTCATTCCAAGAGCCCTGAATCACAAGCTGAAAAATTACTTCACAGTGTCAAAAACTGCTTCTGTTCTGTGTTGTGCCTAAAATGCCATTTGATGAGAAACTCTGTTAAACCTAAACATCACAATTTGCTTCTGCAAAATCTGTGGAGCAAGTAATTGACACCCAGATGCTAGGCCTGAGAAAACAGCTGCTTCAGAAAAGGAAGATTATCCACCAACCACTTAAATATGCAGCTGCGTGAAACACAACATTAAGACTGACAGAGATATAAAAACATGCTAAGAAAAAAAAAAAGAATGGAAGGGCCTGGGTGATGAATTCACCCTGCCTTCCTTTATAGCCTCTTAAGCCCTTAAATTCATGTTCATATGCACGCACACACACAGAACACATAAGTAGGTAATGCAGCAAAGTTCATTATCTGTATAGTCTATTTTTCCAGTTATCTCTTTGAGCAGAAGTTATTATTGATTTCTTCACTAGGGGGAACTTGTGTCCAGCTTGCTTTGGTCACTAACCACTGCGTCCTAACGAGCAGAATCCTTGCAATGCCTCTTTAAAAGCCCTTTGCTCAACAGCACCGCGCTTGCATAACGCAGCGACAGAGACGCTGACAGCGGCCGCGCTCTTATCGCGGCGAGCAGAGCTCGGCTGCCATCCTGCCAAACAAGCAGCAGCACCGATTGCTCATATTCTACCCACAAAAGCAATCCCTGTACTTGCAGGGTAAGCAATGACAGTGACTACTGCACAAGGTCAGACAGGCTCTGGGCTCGTCTTCCGCTTGTTGAGGACACCCATCGTTGCTAACCACTGGATGTGCTCCAGAAAAATTATGGGTGGGTGTAACAATAGGAAAAAATGGTATTCCCCCTCTCTAACAGACAGTTAAGAGATTTTAAAACATACCAGATAATGAATCTGGTACTGGACATCATCAGATAAGACTTACAATGCTCCTCTGTTAAGTATGAGAAAGTCCATACCCCGCACATTAGAATGTGGTGACAGCTACAAAGGAACTGCCGTTTAAATAGCCCTGTGTTCACAGAGAACAAGCTGCTTCCCAGGACGAAGCCAAGCGTGGGCTCCTGGGAACTGCGCGGAAACCATCTCACCCAGTACCTTTTGTGAGCCCTTGTTGGTCAGAATTTGCTGAAAATTCTCATTTTCTCTCATTTATGCCATCTCTTAAAGTTCATTGACAAAACGGATAGTGGGAAAAAGCAGAGCCCCCATCCTCTGCAACAGCAGCACATCGGCTTTGAGTGGAAATGGCCAAAGCACAAAGTCCTGTGTTGTTTCACACAGCCAAAACCCAACATGGCATTGTGGGGAACCGAGGTGCCATCAGTACCTGCAAGTCCATCAGTGCAGTTCCAGCTCTCTCGCTTCACCCTTTCTAGGTTCTAGTATCACATTTAACTGCCACTGAAGAATGAGTAGGGTTGTTATAGCTTCCTATGGGCAACACCTTGCCATAAATAACTAATGCCAGACCTCATATCAAGGCAAAATCATTCCCAGCTATGCTCTTAAGCTTTTCAAACCACCTTGACTAAGAACTGTATAGCTGCGCAGCCTTGTGGATGGATTTCCGATGCCATCCCAGATTCTTCCTAGCAAAAGCAACCTTTTCTGAAGGTGCAGCTCACTACCCTTTATGTCCCCACGTATCTGCTCTTGTGCACAAGGACGGAGGCTGAGGGGCAGTGAGTAAAAATCTTCCATCTCCTGCCCTCTCCCACTCACTAGGTGGCAAATGGCATAAGGACAACGGTCCAGGTTCTTCTGCGCAGGCAGCATCGCAATTGCAGGAGAACCAAGCAGAAAGTCTCAGAAGGGAAAGTGGGGGTCTTACCCTGCTGCATGGCTCAGTATTATGACAGGAATTTGTTGTTACCCAAACCTTCTTATCCATGTCCTTTCTCCCTTAAGCCTGCACAACCACGTGGTTTCACTGCTTCCTAAGTTGTACATGGTGTGCAACAACTGTTAAGTAATAAAAAATAAACATGCGTATTAAACAGAAAGTAGGACAAGTGACTGGATGCAATGGAACTGCTCACTTCTGTCCCAGATGGGTTCTGCAGCTCCAGAGAAACGATGCCAACGCATCTCTGGAGCAGAAACTGCACGTTCAGAATGGTTTGTCAGCACCATATGATTTGGGCCAATTTGTCATCAATTCATAAAGGCGTCTGGTGCTTCATGGAAAAAATCTATATATAGAGACAGTCTTGCTTATAGATCATTTTTACATTTCTCTTCCTCTTTTTCCTCTATTACTGCTCAGTGGAGCCAACATGCTGATCCAGGATTCAAGTCAGGGGAGATGTCTCTTGGCTCAAACTAATGGTAGTGGGAAAACCTAGGAGTTTAACTCTTTCCTCAGCAAAATATAGTTAGTGATACTGTTTTTTATTATTATTATTTAATAAATGGTGTCATTTAACAAATATCTTCTTGACAAGTATTTAGGACAGCAGCGCAGCCTTCCATTATGCACCTGACTTAAAGGCAGGATAAAAGAACTGTCATTATTAACTCCGCAAAGCATCCCAAAATCAGAGTACTTTAATAGAAATACTAATCAAAAAGTAATCAGATGGAGGAAGCCGAGCTTCAACTGACTGAAAAACACCCAAATATCAGAAACAAGTTGAAGACTGTGGCAAAGCATTAGCTCTGTTAGAGAAATTAGCTCTGCTAGAGAGAAGTATCTTGTAACTTTGCTGTAACTTTGCTTCTGATGAGAATGCTTATCTATTTCAGGCAGCTTTTAGGACTTACCAATGGGAGATGAGCAAGCTTGAGCAGCAAAGCTCTCAGTTTCAGCACACAGGACAAGTGCTAAAATCTAAACA